TAGTTTTGAACTTCTTATAAGCAGTACTACTATACTATTTGGGCAGAAGCCAAGGAATGGATATCCAAAAGTGTAAAATCAGAATTTCTTATTAATGAGAGTTGTTCATGCGGCGAGTGTTTAGTGGTTTTAGCATTGCAGAACTCTTTAATTAATGTGCATCTAAAAGCACAAAAATGTCATGGGGTATTCTCTAAAGGTGAATTACTCAGGTGGCTGGCAAGTGTTAATTGATTTTTGATATTACCAACGCTATTTAGGGTTCTTCAAATGGTCAAATGAGGTGAATTTTAGGACATATATATAGGTCAGTCCACTGTATTAGGAACAAAAATAAATAAGTCAAAACATGGGTCTACCCCAGTTGAGAATTCAAATCCTATGTCATAACAGATAAAGATCAAAAGAAACGTACGGCAAATTATCTGTTTCAGAAAAACAGATTTGTAGATAACCCGGCAAGCAACAAAGCACAAATTGTGACTACGTTGGAAACATGTTCTTTTGTTTTAAATATGTAGATAATAGCGTTCAAAGAATTTTTTGCCCCTATATGTGTCTCCATTGAGAATTTTGTACCCTGAATTATTCAGATTCAAGCTTCGTTCATTATTTTTCTTATGCTCAAACTCCAACTATTTTACAGACAAAGAACAAATTTTTCTTCTTAATTTGATTACTACACCATTTACTTGTGTCGATATCAAGGAAATAGAGGAGGGGAGAAAACAAAACACAATTTTTGAAGTGAGAAAGGTTCGCCTTGAAAAATTCAAATACGTTATAGTTAAATATAGTTTGCTAATGAACTATTACTACGAAGTCTTGTTTCATTATCCCATTCACCACTTAAATTTAACGAATTCAAATCTTCTTAATACGTTCAGATGTGTTTGATAACTAAAATTGAATATTTGAATTAACTAAGTGGCACTGAATTTTCTTTACAAAATTTCTCCAAAAGATAAGTGAATAAACTATTCACTCATCACTTAATGTGATATATAATCAAATGTATCAAATTTGGTATTTAACAATTCAATAACTCAATATATTCATATTTTAAATTTTAAACTTCAATTTTCAGATTTCAATTTTATTAAACGCACCCTAAGCCGTGTCTAAAGTTGAATAATCACTGCAATCTTAATTCTTAAACATAAGAAATCAACTTGCGCCTTCTATCTTATGCTCTAATTGGCGTCGGCTATACTATACAAGAACGAAATAATTTAGCAACACCCAAGTTTTTTTTTTTTTGAAAGGGATGGAATGGTTAATTATTACAACAATCAGTCTTAGCTATGGACCTTTGAACGAGGTAATCTGACCAGACCACAAGTTTTAGATCGTTTGGTTAGAACTTAGGAGGGATCAAATGAAATCCTTGAAAATTCTGCATTTCCCAACTTCAAGGGACGCTTCGGAAAGAATAATGAGTTAGGTGATTTGGATGATAACCTTATAATAATCACCTAACATCTCGTCCCTGGTGTTAGGTGCTTTGGATGATAAACTTTGACTTTCTCTTCGAATTCTATTCACCTCGTTGATTGCTAGAGGTTACTCCGCTAGTATTATTCATATTTTATTAATCTTTTTTGGCTCCTCCATCGAGTAATCTAAACGAGGATTTCCGAACGTTCCCTCGTTAATCACCAACCGTTCATTAGTAATACCGAACGCTAATGTCTCGCTTAGATTGCTAGTTTTTAGTGTTTTTATATATATATATATATATATATGATAAGATGTAGAAGTAAAATGGTGATTTGAAACATAAAATGTAAAAATATTTTAGTGAAAAATTGTAATCCGAACACCACCTAAGATTTAAGAATCTAAAATCCATCTGTTCTTTTTCTCTTATATATAAATCGACTAATGACAGAAAACATAAATATAAACAGATTTGGAGAATAAATATTAGATACTATAGATCCAGAAAATTTAGAAAATATGATAAAGTTTATTCAATCAATTTGAAATAGCAAGACTGAGCACTTGATTTATTTATTTATTTATTTTTGACATTTTAGAAGCAAGCATATTTAACGTTTCTTAATTTGGAAATGCATCTGAATTTGGGGACACCAAAACTCTGCTTGACTACCATATTCCTCTCCAAAAACTAACTTAAACTACATGTTTCCATTTCAATTTCACAGCTGGGAATCAATTCCTTTTTTCTTTTTTTTTGTCTAACCGACGAAAACACCACCGGAGGAGGAAGCCATTGAAAGTGACAAAGTACAAATAATGGCTGGCGACAACCAAGAGTTAAAGTCTTGATGGTCACCAGCAAACCAAATGGCTGTTGGCTGTTGGCTAAAATGAGTTTTTTTTTTGTGTGTGGTGAAAACAAATCAGTGTGAATATTATATGATAGTATGGAGAGCAATGCTGGGGCAGGCCCAATCAAAGTAAAAGAAGCTTCCAACTTCAACCAGTACGCCATGGCCCAATAACAATGAATGTTATGCCATACGACATCACTGATTTCATACCCAATTGCGCTTGTTGCCTGAATGAATTAAATCATAGTGTTCCAAAACTTCCCTCTTGTACCCTTATAACTAGCAACAATTTATTTTGTCGTACAAAAATTTAGAATGCTTAATTTAATTGTAAATATGGAAGAGTTATAAGAAAATATTTTAAAAAAAAAAATATGAATTGTGGCAAATTGTCTTTTTAAGTACTTTTTGTGAAATAGTGTATTACTCTTTGAGCGTTAGCATTTATTCACAAAGTAAGGTGCTCAATAAAGATAAAAAGAGCAAGTATAAATGGATTAAGGATGTCTTGTTAAACTGCTTAAATACTCTTCTTCAACGTCGAAACCATGACACTTTTTTATGCTACGAGAGCTTTATGCAACTTAACCTTGACATATCAAAATAGAATTCTTAACCAGCTTTGTTTGGATATCAAATTTGTTTCAAATAATATTTCGCTTACATCATAAATAGATTTTCCAACCCACTTTTTTATCTCATATATATCACATCACAAAAAATACTACAGTAATTATTTCAAATAATATTTCAAATAATAAATACGCTGTCCAAACAAACCACAAATTAGGTAATGATAATCTGAATGGCGGATGAAGTTTTCTCTCATTGGAAAAATAAAGACCCTGAAAACAACAACAAATTAGGTAATGATAATGAATGAACGAACATGTTTTTTTTTTTTTTTTTTGAGAAACACAACAAATTTGTAGCATTGTCCAATTAATTTCGAGATAGTTGCTATTGTCCTTGAGTCAGGTCACTTTGGTCCCAAGAATTCTACAATTATAGCATGACAGTTTGCAAATATACATTTGATCATATTTCCCTTTTCAACAGATCCAGCCAGCCATATAATAGGGATAAGAACAAAATCTTTTCTTTAAATAGGGACCTTGCACTCAGCTTCCCGGTAAGCACCTCCAAGTCCACAAGTAGTAACCATTTGGCATACCATCCATTATTATAGAATAGGCAAATGGGCTCAGCACAGGAACCAAAGAAGACGATTTGTGCTGTAAATTATTGCTGATAGACGCAAAACCAACCTGGCAGATGCCCCCCTAAACCAATCCCCAACACTCCATTATTGCTCCCAGAAAAAGATGTTTGAAGCGATTTCTTACCAAATCGATCCCCCATTGTTCGTGCCAATCTCTAAATTGGAAGGAAAGACAAAGTCACTTTGTGGAATAATATGATACGTCCTTTGATCTCTTATTCACCAGCAGTGCAACGTACGATCGGTGAAAGGTCGAACCCCATTCTTTCAATTAACACAGAAGAGCGAAACTCCCCCTAATATCCCTCTATTGGAAAATCCAGTTGGAGACTATTAAAAGAAGATTAAAGGTTAAGAATGCTGAAACGCACCAGTAGTCTAAGATTAAAGGTTAAGGATTGCAATTTTTTTATTTTTTATGAACATATTTTTCAACCACCCTTTTATCTCATATGTATCAAATCATTACAATAATTTTTCTACGAAAAATTCAGAAAAATGCAATCCACACGAACATGTTCCTGCTTGTATGCTTTTCTTTTTTCGCCTCACAATTAAAAAGAGACTACTGTTTATGCTTTTATTTTGAAAATGAGAGATTTGACCACTTGTTCCTGATATTGGTATGGCGTGCTCATCGTAATTGACTAAGGAGCCGTCCTCCTTCCTCGTAAGGGTCAGGCTCTTACCAAATCCTTGTTCTGTTCTGTGGTATTACCATTTCCCGACCTCAATCACTGCTCTCTCCCCCATGAAGTTTCTAGCTTACCTACCAAAAATACCTTAACCACCCACCAGTCCACAGCACAAAGGAAAAGATAACAATCAGATGGACAACCACTTCTTCTCTCTCTCTGATTCTTCTGCTCAAACAATGCGAAAAAATTCATCACAGGAAAAACGTCAACTTTTCTTAGTAACACAAGCACTCCACTAAAGAAACAAAATACAGGCCGTCAACTGAACTTAGACAAGAGAAACCCTTGAGGATGGGCAAAATGCTGCTGCCGCATCTTTGGTTCAATTAAGCTTTTCCCAGGGGTCATAATTTGATCATCTACATTAAAAAGGGTCGTAAGAAAAGAAAACGTGCCTTTTATTTGGAGGATATTTCTCGTTAACTTGTCCTCGTAGTATGATCCCCAATCATGTACTCCAAAGGATGTGTTGCTACACTTTTCCAACTGAGAGATCAAATTAGCAGGCAGATTTGTTTTTAGCACCATAACTCTATTTAGAAGCGCAAAAAAGCTTGCGCTTCTGATGGTTCTTTAACAAAAGATTAGCATGTTTCCACCCAAGACCTGGTACGCTAGAATGAAGAGAAACCAAATTTCAGACTAAACTTTTCAAAGATAGACAAAGATGAATTTTCAATACTGAAAACGCATCTGGGAAAAAAATAAAGCGGATCATAACAAGTGGAATGATGATTAGATGATAGATGAGCCAAGGGAGACAACACAAATGCAGTAGCCATATATATATATATTAGCCCATTTAATACATCTTTGCTATTCATATTATCATTGAGATGAAATATAATATACATCATCAACATCAACAACCAACAGAAGCATCACACCACTAACACAGACCATCTTACTTATTTCCCTTCAACTCCCTCCCATAGTACCTACAACAATACAATGAGGCGTACCCCAAATACAATACAAATACTCCCATTTGCTACACTGATTAGCCACTCTATTACATTACAATACCGTCCCAAAGAAAACTGTACAATTTTCTTGGAACAGTATACGTTATACACCATACACATAATTTCTTTTTCTTTTCTTTTTCTTTAGACACTCTTGGGGGTCATTTCATCTCTTCATCCACGAGCCCACCTAATTAACACCTCCAATCGTTCTTAGCCAACCCCCACAAGTACTTCTCAGATATAGCTAATAAGCTAGCTAAAAACATTAAAAAAAAAAAAGGTTCTAAAAACCCACGGCCAATTCGCTTGCACTTCTGTTTTCACTGTTCCTCTATTTTCAGACCAGTAAAATTTCTCCATATTTGACAAAAAATACGATATGGAGAAACTTAGATCCAGAAAAAAGGAAACCAAAGCGAATCAGACGATGCCGTAGTAATAGTAGCAGTACCAGGTAGTAGGTAGTAGTAGTAGTAGTAGTAGTTCTTAGCTGATAATCATCATCAGCTCATTCGAGACGAAGCAGACGCCTCAGGTCTCTGGTGGCCGAATCATGAAATTCTTCGTTGTTGATTATGGTGATGTGATTGCTGATATTCACGCTATTATTGTTACTGTTACTGTTGTTGATGTTGAAGAAAGAAGGCAAAGGAAGAGAGCTGGGTGAAGGCGATACAAAAAACGCCGATCCAGCGTACACATCATCCCTCACAAGGCCTCCTCCTCCTGTGGTTTCCTCCTCTAAATCTCTCTTCAGTCTGGTTGCATCAATTGTGTCTAGCGACTGTCCTCTTCTCAATATCGTAACCCTAGGAAGATCATTTTGCAGCTCGTCCACGCTCGCTGATCTCCTCGGGAGGAGGAGGTGGTTGAGCTGCTGCTCCACCACCACAGGTGTCGGAGGCTGAGGCAGAGGAGGCGCACTTGATGATCTAATCCGCCGCTCCGACTTTTGAGGTTGTGGCGGAGGAGACGCACTTGATGATCTCCTCGGGATTTGGAGCTGCGGCTGTTGGTCTGATTTTTGCGGTGGAGGAGATTGGTGAGAAGTCTTTCTCTTGAGGTCTGACCGCTCCAGTCGTGGTACCGGCTTTTTGTGGCCGGAGTTGTTGTTTGGTCTAGGGTTACCAAATGCATTTCCGTTTGCAAAGTAGTTTTTCCGGCGATGATGAAACGCCGGAGGTGACAGCCGGAATCTGTCGTAGAAAACATCTTGAGGTCTCAAAACCTCCGTTCCCATATTTCCAAAAATGAGATTAAATTTACAAAAACAAAAACAAAATCCTAGTCCTTTAAAAAGGCAAAACCAAAAAAAGTTGCTAAATTTCTAAAGCGATTGAAGCTAATGTTAGCAGAACATGTTAGATGAGCTTCAAATAAAGGAAAATTTGGCAAGGATTGTTCAGAAAGGAGAAGGAAATGAGAAATTGGCACAATTTTATCTTCTGAAAAAAGAAAGAGAATAAATTTGTTTAAACAAAATTGAGGAATCAAAACAGAAGATTTAGCCAGGACTTTTTTGAATTGGTTTGTTCTCCTTTCCGTTTAGTTGAATGGTATTGTTTCTTTCTTCAATTCCTATTCAAAGGAATTACCATCAAGAAGAAAAAGATCTAATTTTTCTTCTCTTTGAAGAATAAAAACAGGATGGGGAAATTTGGTTAGACTTAGGGGTGGTTTGGTTTGGTTGGTAACTTGTAAAATGAAAGATTGTGGAGCTTATAAATTGGAGGGATGGATGGAAAGAAGGGGGTCATATATATATAGGTGGATATTAGGGAAGGAAAGGCGCCACTTGCTACCGACTCCGATACGATCGACGCGTGAAGAAAGCCAACTGTGATTAAATCATTAAAAACTAGCAAAGCTGTCATTTTATTGTTTGCCCTTTGAGTTTTGAGTATATCCTTATAATCTAATCTAATCTAATCGTCTAATGATTTTTTGCAGGGTTAATAACAACACTCTGTCTCCTTAAACTACGGGATGGTAAAGTATACTTTACCGACCTGAACTTCAAAAATATATATTTTGTTCCCTCGAAATGAATTATATTTGTACTTTTAATTTTGACAAGTTCATGTGCATTTATTCCTTCTCAAATTACCCCAATCTTCCTATTTTCTTAATTGTCAACTTTTAGCTTATGTATTTTTCTTATTATACATTCATCAAAATATTCTACTACTAGACGATATGATGTTGGACATCAGTTTAATTAATTTATTGTGTAGACTTATCTATAATTTAAAATCACTCTAAGTTAGACTCCACCAGCGCCCTGCTCTAGCTTAATATATAGTGTATTATAGTACTAGTGTGTATATGTATATATGTGTGTGTATATATATGTATTGCAATTTAAAATTAACAAAATTGTATTTCATTACGATAAAATAACGTACCCTTTCTTGGTAATTTTTTATGTTTGTAGTAAAAGTATAATTTGTTATGTCAATTTGCTTGAGTTTTTATTTGTCATGTATTGTACATTGTTCATAGAAAAATCCGTGGATATTAATTTAGATTTTGTGTCCTGTCAAATGTAAAAAAATGACTAATAATTGCAGTTATTATTTCTGACTAAATATTCAAAGTATTGATAATTATGATTGTTATTAGTATTATATATTTTTTAAAAAAAAAATTATGTCGCATAAAAAATAGTAGTGGTCACAATGTGAGCACCCACAAAGAAATGAAAAAAGACGGAAGCAAGGCAATAGTTGAGGCAAATTTTTTATTTAATTTATACTGTAATTCAATATTAACAAATTATTATGGTGAATACATAATAAGAAACTTGAAAATTAAACACACAATTGAGCAAAGTGTTATTAACCTTTTTTTATTTCCAGCTTTTTATTTATTTTTCAACCACAATATAGATGGAAACTTGAAAATTAAACACACAACTAAGCAATTTTAATCCAACGTTTAGTTAAACGTACAAAAGAGATACGATAGACAGACTTTATTAAATTCTTATTCTTATTAAACTCTTAAAATCTTATTCCATCTTAGTTACGTAATTGTACTTTTTTTTCCATCCTTCTTCGCATCCTTTCTACTCTCAATTGCTAGATACAGAATTTGAACTTGAATAGAGAAAGATCCAAGGAATCATCCCCCAACAAATACGTCTAAATAATTTTCTTTTGCTTTAAACTTTCAACAAATTTTCTTGTGCAGTGTGGTTGGCAACTTGTTTTGGTGACCAAAAAATGGTTACTCTGACTTAAGAGTACAAAATCACCTAAGCCCATGATACGCTACTTCTATTTGACCAGAGCTTTAACTTTAATAATTTAAAGACTTGTATAACTCCACAAGACTACAAGAGAGGAAATTCAATCAAAGAGGGCCACTCGATTTGATTTTTCCCAGATGTTACGTGGGGGCCATTTGGTTGGTATGCGTTCATGAACCTCTCCTCTTCTTTTTTTTTTTTTCTTGTTTTGGTGGGGTAGACACGGAACCTCCCCTCTGATATTCATGGTGGTCGTCTTTTTGTGGAGGGTTTGAGATGGTGGACCGGTCCATTCCATAGAAAAAAGGAAAAAGAAGGAAAAAAAAAAAAAGAAGAGGAGTAGCGCTAGCGTTAGATTTAAGTTTTAACGGTGAGATTTTATCATTTTAGAGAGAAGAATTAATCGTGGGGACAAATGACAAAGCAGCATGATTAAGGCCAAAGCAGCATGATTAAGGCCTTTGTGTTGTTTTTTGTTCATCTAATCTTTATGGCCTTTTTTATTCTTTTGTGCTCCACAGCTTAATCTGTGGGCTCCGAGCCGCTGTCCAGTAAGTGGTTTACTTTACTCTTGGCGGGTTTGTAGGTTTAATTAATTATGCACACTTTTTCTTTCTTTTTTTATTTCAGAAATGATAGATGATTTTATTAATAAAAGTTTATGGTATTTGAGCAACGGCTTAAAGTTTCTTATACAACATGTACCTCGATATTTAAGAAGCAGCAAAAGTTCTCTTCTCATCTCTGAAAATGTCTAATGCATATAGACTAAAACTATTACAATGATCAATATAATTATTATCAGGTTTTCTTACACACAATGAGTACAATTGAAACAAATTAGCTAAACTCTTGATGTCCTTCACAAGCTTGAATTATGTACACTTTTTCACATGACAACAAAAGTAAAATTTGTATATACTATTATAGTTGAATGAATGATATATATATTAAATTTGGATTTCAAATTATGAATATCTCACATTAGGAATTTTTCATGTTAGGGTTTTTTTTTTTTTTTTGCTATAAGTGTTTCTCTCATTATAAGTACCAAAATTCATTTTGTCTGTACACGCGCATTAATCTATGCGCCTGTTCAAATGATGTGTTCCATGAGACATGTATGCTATGAAAAATACGATAGAAATAGCCATGTTCCTTAACTTGGATTTTTCTTAAAAATTTTCAGACATCCGTTTTTATCAGGATTTCCTACTGTATTTACATGACACCTCATTACATAATATGGTGTGATATGAGATGTAGTACCTTAATTAAACAGTTTGAGTAGAATATTAAATGCTAGTGTTAATCTTCTTTTTTATTTTTCCTGACAAAAGCAACTAAGACGATTATAAATCAGACACTGAGTTTGTTTGGACAAAAAGAATTTGGAAAAAAAATTTTGTCTCACAAATCCCAATCACCTTTTTATCTTCCCAATTACCTTTTTATCTCACATACATCACATCACAAAAAATGTTACAGTAAATATCTCAAATAAATCATCTAAATAAACTCTTATTCAAACAAACTTACTATTATTATTATTATTATTATTTTAGATTTTTTTTTGTCGCAAATTTAAAGGTCAATTAAGACCGCCATAAATTGTGACAAATTTATGGGAGGCAGGGATTGAACCCCTGACCTCCAGCATCACCTTTAATAGTGATGATCACTGGACCAAATGGCCCGTAGCTATTATTATTATAGATTCTCTCGCCTAGAAAGGATCAAAGTAGCCGTCCACTTTTAATTTACCATTATCTTTATGACACGTCATAATAAAATTATTCAATATGAAAAGGACAGGCATTGTACGACCTGGTCGATCCCCCGAAGAAACTTCTGCCCTCCCTCGACCACCTCAACTCATGCCAAAATATAATTGGTCACATCCATATCAGTCTACGATTCTTACTTCTAAATCATGCTCCTTCAATGGAGACATTATTGATTGATTGTAAATTACTTGCATACTTTTACGCGTCATTAATGTATTTTTTAATTATTTTTTATTTCACATGTATTATATTAAAAATGCTACAATTTTGTTTTAAAAAAAAAATTATCCAACATAATTATTATTGTTAGATTTTTATAGAATGAATAGTATATTATAGTATTATTAGTGTCTTCGGAGTTTGGTGGATTCTAAGAAGCTACGCTCCTTCTTTTCTACGACAGATATACAAAATTGGTCGCAGTTAGGCCTACTACATGACGTTTACCTACACATTACATGTATCTCGCACCATTCAACCACCGGTGTTTTGGCAATACATAAACCAGGATAGAACCGATGTTGGTTGTACCATTGATAGTAGTCCTTTTTTTTTTCTTTTTTTCTTTTCTTGGGCGCTTTGTATGCGACATTCCCAAAATGGGTACTATCGGGTCGGGTGAATTAAATAATAGACGCCCGTTGGCATTCCAGCATTCCTTCTCCTTTCAGGGCCTATCTGAAAGAGAAGAGAATCCAGTAGTTATTGGTTGTGAATATCTGAACTGGTTGTTCGCTGTTCAAGAATTCTTGTTTAGGTCTTGAATTCAGAATTTTTTATTTACAATCCCTCCAATCTTACTATTCATCTCAATCCCAAAAAAATTAATGGTTAAGTTTTGGCTAGTCATAAACATTTTATTCTGAAGCTATTAGGTCTTTAGCTTGGTAGTCACCACCAGTTTTGGTAGGGTTGTCACTTTATGTGATAGACTTAATTGACTTTCTTCGATGAATTTCTACTCACATTGAGTTCCCCTCCCCTTCACCTTAGATTAGGTTATAAGATTTCTACTGTTGCGACAGAAAAAAAATAAACATTCTATTCTAAAATATTATGGTCTACTGAAAGATTGACAAACTTACATGCTAGACTTCAATAACACGGTAAAACAAACTTCAAGAAGGGGAAAATTAAATGAACATGGAGAAAAATCATTTTCCTTTTTCCTTTGCACAAAAATTCATATTCCATTTCTTTTTTATCTTTAAAACAAGTGATCTTTGTTACATACATTGGTAGAGCCAGTTCCTTGGGACAACTTGCCCTCAATTTCGTAAAGTCACAAAGAATAACAATGATGGATTACCATGGAAATACATGAGAACTAATAACTGTCATGGTTTCCACATTATTTATTTTAATTAAGCAATTAATATGTAATTATAGTTGTGAGTTTCTCAAACTTTGGGCCTCGCTAAGTTGAGAATCATCTTTGGAGAGAAAAGGCTACAAAAGATAATTGAGAGGAACAAAGAGAGGAAACTTTTCCAAAGGTGTGGGTCGGGGAATCTCTTTACAATCGGAGCTTGAGTGAAATTACTTTCTTTATAAAAGTGGATTGATTGAAGGAACCCTTAATAATGTTCCTTCTCTCCTATCTCTTTCCAATAAGCCTTTCTATATTAGGAGACATTCTCAGAATATATATTGGAAAAAAGAATTAAGGAATTTTTTACCAAAAAAATTTTATTTTTCATAAGCACATTTTCTAATCATCTTTTTAAATTACATTTATCAAATCGCTACCGTACATTTTCTATCAAAATTTCAGAAAATTACAATCCAAACACGAGTCTTCTACTCTCAAGAAGAAGTTAAATGGCAATTTTTTTTTTCGATTTCATTTTTCGGGTATTCTGGCGGAGAATATGTCAAATCACCCCCTCTCCTTGCTGATTCGAATGCATGGTTATTTTTGGATCTGATCAAGCAGAAGATTTTTTGCAACTGAAAATACTTGGATATTACACGTATTGTTTTCTATCCTTCTCCAAGCTTGATATTTTGTTCAAAAGTTGATACCCCACTGACCTGATTGTTTTGGTTATGCTAAACCGTGGAGCAACGGCATTGAATTATAGCCTTATTGGGCGACAGACGGAAAGATAAAGAGGTGACGTTTTGGCGACAAAGATGTGTTGGTGCATGGGCCATGCATTGCGATTTTTATCTGCAAGCAACTAACTTTAATTACGTTTACTCTTTAGTATCACAATATTTGACACCTTTTTTTTCTATAAGAAAAAAAAAATATGAAAGAATAAAATGTTTTTTTTTTTGTTTTTGTTTTGGGTGATCAGCTGGGACTAATAGTCATTTACTTTGCTAGCGAAACCAGAGATTGAGAGATCTGGAGGCAAAACTAGGACTGCAAACGAATCGAGCCGCTCGCGAGCGGCTCGAGTCAAGTTCGAGCTCGAACTCGAGCTTAGAATATTATATATATATTTTTTTTTATTTTTATTTAATAATAAAATTACATATATTATATATATTTTTTATTTTTTATTTTCATAGTAAAATTACGTATATATCCTTATTATTTTATTATTTATTAACAAAAAAATATTATATTATTTATTTTTAAAAAAATAAAATAATTATTTTTTATTTTTTTCAAACTCGAGCTCGGCTCGACTTGATTCGAGTCGAGCTCGAGCTCGAAAATTGCCGGCTCGTCGAGCTCGAGTTTGGTAAAATTCAGTCGAGACTCGGCTCGATTAGCTCAAAACTCGGCTCGGCTCGACTCGTTTGCAGCCCTAGGCAAAACTACGAAAGATATACACTTGAGAGGATACCTATAGATCCAACGTATGTAGGGACTTGATTGGGACTATATATATATTTATATATTTTTTCTTTTGATAAAATAAGAAACCTTATTAATGAAATTGCTGAACATCGTTCAGTACGATTTATTTGATAAAGTTTGAAGGGAAATTTCACAGAATTTCTAAGAGATTGACAGATTTTACACGATGAGTTAAATAATGCACAATCTTAATAACAAACGTTTCTTGAGAACATGCTGATTGGGAGTAGTTTATGTTTGGTCATTGCCAGCCCAAGACTTGGAAATTTCCTCGAAGCACTGTATTATTATGTTGACCATTCATTCAAGGTTGCCAACTCATCATATGATTAAGATAGTAGACACATCATTATCGTATGTTTGGTGTCCACAATTTTCAACCTTATTCGTAAGATATCAATAAATTGGAGTAAGCCACTTTGGACTGATAGGAATCCCACTTGATAATAATAATAATAATCAACGTAAAAATGGCAATCGACTCTGTAACGTAGCAATTGTTGCACAGTCAAGTGGTCAAATCAAAACACGGTTTGAATTTGAAGCTGGGTCAGGGTCAACGTTTATGAGTCAAAGTCTTTGGACACCCTACTTCATCCCAATTTTTTTTTTTTTTTAAAAAGAAAAATGTTTTTAAACACCTTGACGTGTAAAACGTAAGTGCAGTGAAGAATTCATTGATAGCGTGAACGCCTCCTCTATCATACAACAGAAAAAAAATGTGAAGTGTAATACAGAAGGAAAATGATATACATAATCCCAAAATTGACTTCGGATATGAAGGAAGGTAAACATAATAAATTCTTGAAAGGAAATTTGCCAAATTGGTCCCTAACATTTACCAAAAACACTTTTAAAGTCCCTAACATATAAAATCAGCCAAAATTGTCCTTCACATTTAAATTGTGATCCAATTTGATCCTAATGCTCGTTTTTGCTCCTTTCTCCGGCTAAAAATAGCACGCCCCTCTCATGTGGTCATATTTTCAATGGCAAAATTGGAAAACAAAAGCTTTCTTCTTTCTTCTTTTCCCCTGTTTCTTCTTCTCCATCGCGACCGAGAGCCCTCATCACCGCCGCCGCATCCTCCGCCCCTCCAACCTCGCTTGTCCGCTGCCTCTCTCTACTGTCGCGCGATCTTTACTCCGCTGCCCTGCGCACTGCCCTCGTCTCTCTCTCTAGTCGACCGCATCCTTCCACCAGCTCACCCGCAACCCCAGCGCACGCCGCCCGCTGCTCAGCGCGTCGCCACTACGCGGATCTCTTTCATCCTCCGCCTGCCCCGATGCCGCAGCCCGCATCCACGAGAAGCAGCCGCCGCCGCTGCTTGACGCCACTGGCACGCGTCGCGTAGCTCACCTCACCTTACTTCACTCCCTCTTCTCTCTCCTCGCGCCTCCACCAGCGACACACGGCACCTCTTCTGATCACCTCCAAATATGCTTCTGTTCAGGTGAACTCAGTCACCGTTGTGGTGAACCTGTCCTTAGAGAGTCGAAGCAAGATAAAGATCGTGAGATTAGGGATCGTCCCCAGTGGATCTGGGATTTGTGTTTTCCAATTTTGCCCTTGAAAATATGACCACGTGAGAGGGGCGTGCTATTTTTAGTCGGAGAAAGGAGCAAAAACGAGCATTAGGACCAAATTGGATCACAATTTAAATGTGAAGGACAATTTTGGCTGATTTTATATGTTAGGGACTTTAAAAGTGTTTTTGGTAAATGTTAGGGACCAATTTGGTAAATTTCCCTTCTTGAAAAGATAAAAAGGTATTTAGAGTTCAAATTTTAAATACATCTAACACCTACACTTAAATCTTACAAACTAGAAATATATTTATAGTTTAAAACACATTTCTGTGCCTAAATTTTATTAGCTTATTGGAATTTCAGAGCTCATAATGAAGAATGCAAACGAGTCTAATCAAATCGAACATCCTAATATTTAAGTTTATTTCATTAATTTAACGAGCTTGAAGTTTTATTCAATTTTGACTTATTTATTTGCTGATCAATCGACTATAAATGAGTTTGATGATCGAATTTAAATGTTATATGTTTAAGATTGATTTGACTCGTTGACGAATAAAGTTCGAAGGATCCCTTATCAAATCGAGTTCGATTTTAAGTTTCGAGTCTTTTAGTTCATCATCTTCCGGTCCTATTCGAGTTGATGAATGTCTCCACTCAACAAAGACGATTAAATTCAATGTTGTCCAATTATGGTTTACTTGGTCATTGGAAGGGAAATTATCGTGTCGATCTTCTATTGGATTCTTCCCTCCAAGCTTCATAATCAGACCTACGCACAAATGATGCCGATGGTGCTGGTGTTTTCAATATTATAAACGCACTTGATCCAAAATGTTGGATCACCCCTCCGATCAATGTACATTTAACGGGCAAAATGGTTGGCTTGGACGAGACGAGAGCTTTTAAGTCAATGCCGTATAAGGAGGCCTGCAGGCAAGAACAAGCAGCCGAACTCCTCTTCTTTCCCCCTGATTAAGATTAAGCAACAATAGGAACCATAAATCACAAGGTATATATTGCCTGAGTCAGTGGTCTCCCTTCCCTTCCACCAACTACTTGTCAACTACTTGTATTTGATTTGAGCGTCGGAATTAAATTAAATCAACTACAAGAAAAATTGTTTGGATTGTGATTGTCGTCTTTCGTGAACATATTTTTTAAATTATTTTATTACTTTTTATATATATCAAATCGCTATAATATATATATATATTTTTTATAAAAACCTCCTGAGATTAGCAATCCAAACGGAAGATAACCAAATTTTAGCAGCATTATAGGAGTAATCATGAAATCTAAAACCTTTTTCAAAGTCGATTCAAGGTTATTATTATCCCTCTTCAGTGACAAAGATTAGTGAAGCTGTATACCAACTTTACAAATAACTGTCTGAAAATCTTCGTGACTTTGCAAATAATGGTTAGGATTTCAAATATTCTCAGTCTCTAACTGTGCACTTACAAACCATAATACCTGTAAAGTGTTTAACTTGATCCAAATTTTAAACATGGACTAAAAGTATTAATTGGGAATTCTTCAATATCAATAGTTTGGTGTTATAGTAAAAAAAATGGTTTAAATTGTTCTTTATCTTTTCCTGCTAGCTGCTGCAGGTTCCACTTCCATCCCCTCTCTCAACCACCCGAAAAATATTCCAAATCAAATATGACTTTTGGTCGTTTGTTGAAAAAAAAAAAAAAGAAGAAAAATCACTTTTGTTTTGGTAGGAAGCAAGAATAACCACAAGTACACAGGAAAACGTTAACCATTCATATATGTATGAGCCGAAACTCCTTATCCCATGAAAGTCTTCTCTTGTCCTCTGCAGGCAAAATGGGAGCCCCTCCCTCCGCAAACATTAAGAAGAAAAAAAAAAAACAATTTCAAAGAAGGAAAGAGAAAAAAAAATAAAGAAAGAGAAAAAGAGGGGGGAAAAAGAAAAACAAGAAATCAAAAACAAAAAAGATGTTGTCGAAAGAATCGGGAGGACCGAACAACAACTTCGACCTTCCCGAGGAAGTGCTGGAAGTACTGCCGCCGGATCCATTTGAACAGCTGGATGTGGCACGCAAAATCACCTCCATTGCCCTTTCGACACGTGTCTCTTCCCTCGAATCAGAGGCGTCTGTTCTCCGTCACAAGCTCACCGAGAAGGACGCCATCATCGCCGACCTTCAGTCCCAGCTTCAGTCCCTCGATGCCGCCCTTTCCGACGCTTCCGACAAACTCACCCTCGCTGACCGAGAAAAGGTCCGATTCTTATAACCAACCGACCCACTTGAACCGTTTTACTTCTCCAATTACTACGTATAAGTTAGAGCTAAAGTTTTCTTCTTCTTCTTTTTAATTAATTGAATAGGAGAAACTGTTGAAGGAGAATGAGACGCTAACGAACACTGTGAAAAAGCTTAACCGCGATGTTGCTAAGGCAAGTGGCAGTATATAATGGTAAATTTTAGACTTTTTTCCCCCCTTTGGGGTAAGCTTATTGCGTTTGTGGGGATTGATTACTTTTACTTGATTTTAGTTTATGTAGTTCTTTTCTGCATCTAAAGTTTGTCATTTTAATTTTAATTTGGTCATATGGAATGTAAACTAATATTATTTTTAGGACTGAATTTACAGCTGCTCTTGACTTATAATTTTGATTTTGTTCCCTTTATTATGCTCACATTATTACAATTCTATTACTAATACGTGACCTTAATGAAAGACTTGAAAACAATGGTCCAAAGCTTTTTCTTTTTGGTTTTTTGGGTTGAGATAATTCTTAACTTCAAAAAGACGGTGTTAAAATGACTTCAGAATTCTGATGAATTTTGTTTGAAAGAAAAATGGCTATGGTTAGCAATGTGATTAATTACAAGAGGTTAGGAGTTTGTGGGTCGAAACCGAGGTAATTTTGTTATTTACGAACTTAATGGGAGAGAAGATTTTCATATGACTGCTTGGAGAGTCGGTAGATCCATTGAGCTAACAAATCACGCCATTTTTTTTTTTTGGGTTGCAAATGATTACCCAAATTTTATCATTATTTAAAAGAGAAATATAGTTCAAAATAAAAAAGGTAAAAGATCCTAGGAGCAAGAATCCCCACTTCATATCAAATTAAAATTGGCCTTGATTCTAATCTAGAACGTTGTCAATTAATTGCAGTTGGAAGCCTTCAGAAAGACACTCGTGCGATCGCTCCAAGATGATGAAGACCATTCTGTAAGTTAAAATACTTTACAGTGATCTTAGGGGTCAAAAACTTCTTAGCTTTTTGTGTTTTGCTTTCATGTGAATATTTACAAGTCTTTAACATAAATCTCCTATCACTCAGTGCTGAAAATTAGGAAATTTTTCTGAGTTTTAGTTGCTTCGAGCATGAATGTAGCTACTGGCCTGAGTTTGAAGAGAATCTTCTAATGTCGTTTTCTTCTGTATCGATATGTCAGGCAGCTGCAGCTGGTCTTCCTGTTGCTGGCGTGCAAGCAAGAAGCCAAGCAGGTACTTTTTACTAGCCATTTGATGGATCTGACGTGGTCCAATTTCTAACAGAAAAATGCTCATTCTGCTGAAAGTAGTTAATGCAAGTGTTTCAAACCTAGTACAGAGGAGCAACGAATTTTTTGAAGCCATTTTTCTATAGTACTCAATCTGGACTGAATAATATGCAATCTCATAAGCTATTTTTATTGAGATTGTTGGTGTATCATGCTGACCGTTCTCTCTAGTTAAAGTAACACATTCTATGTCTTCTTTTCTCATTTCCGATTTCCTTCATTTCCTCTTTCTTTCAGATGATTTCTGAGCGGAACTTTTGGATGAATTCAACTCTCTAACAAAAGCTCCTTTTAATCTTTCAGGAGATGATGCTTCCTTGCCACCTACAAGAACTTCTTCAATGCAAAGTCAATTTTCTGACATTGGAAACTCATGTCGGGAGGATAATGATACTGAAGGTGTGTGTGTTAGCTAAAATTCTATGTTAAAACAAATCAGCCATCTTCAGAGTCCTTTCAGATATGAAATTCAGATCTCTAATATGGGCCTACAGGGGCAGAACCGGCATGATCATTGCACAAGTCTTAAAGCGTACGAAGAGTTAAAGATAATATGGGGGCCGATTTGGAATTTGAAAGTAGTTAACTTCATTGTGGTCAAATATAACATGTGACCATATATGTCAAAGTTTTTCACTGTGTCTCCAAGAAACTCTTCCCTAGACCAATGTAGCTAACTATTATTATTTAAATCATACAGCCTCAAGGCCCCGCATATCACCTGGATTGCTGTTAGCATCCCAAACTAACACCCCTCGGCTTACTCCTCCTGGTTCCCCTCCGAGTCTATCCGCATCTGTTTCTCCAACACGGACTCCGAAACCTTTGTCTCCAAGGAGACATTCGATTTCATTTTCAACCACAAGGGGCGTGTTTGATGACCGGTCTTCTGCATTTCCTATGCCTGCAAGCCAGCATAGCTCAATGTCTGGCTTGGATACAGGATCACAATCTGGTTAGTTCCTTTCTTATCTGTCTCTCAAGAAGAAATTTTGAATGGTAAGAGATAGCCACATCTATTGACGAGTGATGTGCTTGAAATCCAGAATTTGAAATGCTTCCTTCACTCGAAACAGAATCCTGTACTTCTTTTTATCTAAAAAAGCTGACAAGAGCTAAAATTGTGTGTTTAATTTAACAACTTCCTTCCCATCTTAAACTAAGTCCCGGGTATAAGAAACTTAAAGGTGCTGGTTATATGTAAATTTTTTCAACCTTAAGAATCTGTCAGTTTGATATGGGCAAAAAGTGCGAGGACACCATGAAACAAAAATAATATCTGTTCAGTCAGACCATCTTGAAATGATCTGTGGATTTCAGTTTAAAGATTGAAGTATAATTTGTTCACTAAGTAAGTGTGCATAATTGCATTGCCATTCACTTTTGTCATCCCTCTCCCTCAAACCCAAGAGGTTGTACTGCTGTTCCTCTAGCCCTTTTTTTTGGGGTGCTATCTCTGCCATTTATGTTGCTTCTATTGCTTGGCTTGATTCAGGTCGTACTCGGGTTGATGGAAAAGAATTCTTTCGCCAAGTAAGGTAAGAATATGCTTTTCTGTATTAGTTTCTTCTGAAGTGGTATTTTTGCCAAAGCTGGAGAACTGGCAGGTCTCATCTGTCTATTTCATGTCGTATCAGATGCCTTAATGTTCACCCCTTTTCATCGTCGTTGCATCTAAAAGGATTACTGAAAATCTGATTTTTTGTGCTTTATTAGGAGCCGTTTGTCATACGAACAGTTTGGGGCATTTCTGGCAAATGTTAAGGAACTGAATTCCCACAAGCAAACGAAAGAGGTATCTTGCTTCAGCCCTTCTAGAAGCTAATCTACCCATCCCTTTTTTTTTTTTGGTGTCATCTCATTCTGATGCCTTGTAATCTTGGGCATCCTAGGAAACATTGCAGAAGGCTGATGAGATATTTGGCCCAGAAAACAAAGATCTTTATGCTATCTTTGAGGGGTTAATTACTCGTAATGTCCATTGAAAAGAAAGAAGCTGAATGTATCTAAGGCCACGAAGCATTTGTTTGTTCCACACGCAGCTTCTCATGTAGACCTTGTTGCAGACTGCAGAGTACGAGTCAACTTTTTGTGCGATTCTGTAAAACATTATGCACAGAATGGGCAACAGGTGCATAATTGCACCTCTGATGTTGATAATTACAATGTACTATATTGTTTTTTTCTTTGTGAAGGAAAGCAAACAGCTTCCGGCAATGTAGTTTTATTGGGGAACGTTTACAAGTTCTCTTGTAGGACGAGGGATGCTTCTCTTATATATACAGATTCATGCAATGAAAATCCCGTATATGTTTTATGCATTGTGTAACTGTACCCCATGGATTATAAATGCGGATTGTTGACACAGAGTCAGAAGAAAAAAAAAGGAAAGCCACAAAATTACAGATAGACCGGAATAGTTACAAAAAAAAAAAAACAAAGTTTTTTGCAATAAAAGTACTCATTACCCGGACATATAATAAAATGGATATTGATAAAATTTGAAAAATTGCTCAAGTTTGCATTATTGTCTCCATTCCGTCGGGTGAAGATTTTGGATTGGGTTTTGCTCCATAGCATGCACACAAACTTAGGAGCTATAAAAAGGCAGTTTGTGTCGTTTACGTACCATCATCGTACGGTGTTGTTGTTAGCTGGGGGAGCAACTAATAATAATATTATACTTATATTACAGGCCAATCTTGAATACAGGAAATATCCTACGGAATCTCTCTGCGTGCTTTAAACACGTAAAAGTTTTTGTTATCAGTATATTTCATTTCCTTTCCTTTTTTTTTTTGCGTTTTTTAAACGTGTGTAAACCGAGTTTTAAATTAGACAAAACTATGGATTATATATAGAGCCGACTTTTCAGCATTCTTGATTGGGATGTCTCAAGAAAATCTTGTCTCAAGATATTAACGTACGTCCGCTATTTTCCTCCTCTTTCTCTCTCACAGCTTGCAGACTCACATTTGCATTTCCAACGTTTGGTTCCTGGAGCCGCAGGTTCTGCTGTCTCTCTGGAACCATGGGAAGTTCACCGGAGCATTCAACATCTTCATGGTAATTCAACATTACTATTTTTCAGCGTCAACTCTTCATGATTTTGATTCTGGGATGTGTTTTTTCTTCGATGTTGGGGGTACATTGTATTTGTAGCTGCAAATCATACGTGTTATACCTTTTCTTGATTTTTCTTATCGGTATATATATATATATATATATATTTTGGGGTCTATTATAGCTGCATGAGATATTTATGATCAGGCATTGCATCAGTTTCGGGTTTGACGCCTTCCATATTGGGTTTAATTACGTGTGTATAACATAGTTGTAGGTTAATATTTTCCAAGGATAGCTGTTCGTGGGATTCTGTTAATAAATGATTCATGTTGATACATAATTGCATGCGAAACATTTGTTGATATGTGGCTGTCAAATGGACTGCTAGGTCCTCCTATGAATCGCATCATTGTGTATCTATCAATGTTTATCAAGTGTTTACCCGTCTATGAGGGTTTGACGGATGTGGATGTTTTGCTGATTATGTGTGGCGTTTATTTCATTTCCCCTGAGCAGGGGCTGTGAAAAGCAACAGATATCTGAAATAAAAAATCCGAGCTGTTGCAGATTTTGTAGGCATTGATTCTATAAGCTAATTCCCAAACCAGTTTAATGTCAGAGCATAAGTGCCATGAAGATGTAAATTTTATCAGATCAAATAACGGCCCCAACATTTTCTGTCATTCTTTTATCTCACATTGTGTTTGCTGGACAGTTGAAGAAGATATCTCTCTTTATTTTCTCAGCTATTGATTAATTTGACAGCCTTCCCCTATTCTTATTTGTCCCTTCATAGTTTTTGACTGTTATGGCAGTGTACAAATCCTGCAACGTTTTGCCCTTTCATTCCATAGTTTCTGTTAGTGTTTGTATTCGCACTCGATCAGTAGCCAGAATCAGTTCAACTTTGATATTCGTCGTCCGCTAACTATGAAATGTCTCTTACTGTAATTGCCAGCGAGAGTGCATGCGACGTCTCAGAAGGAAATTCACAAGGGGATCTCTTTCAGATTGGTCAGAAATATCTGTTTTCTCTTTCCTCGATTTCTCTATCAGCTGAAGGTTAGTCTCCAGCTTCAAATATATATCCTCTTCACCTACCCAATTCTCCAGTTTCTTCAAGACTCATGTTGACTGCAAAATCCACAATTTTGTTCTCTATTTTGTTCTTAGTAACTTCTGCAATTATGCTTCCACATCCACAACAAGAGAAGCCTTCTGTTTTAGTATTACTGACATTCACCTTCATACTTTAGAGTTGGAAGGTTTGACACTTGAGGAGGCAAAAGGAGATGAGATTACCAACAGGAAAGCTCCAAAGGGTGAGCTAGAATCTGAAACACCAGTGGCAGAGGTCAGTACTTCAGATTCTCAGGGTGAAATCGAGGGGAAATCTGATTCTCAATGGCGAGGTTTTCTTCGTAAACTGAAGAAAGGACCAGTGGGTTTCAATCCATTCCATCCTTCGATGCCATCTTTCCCTTCTCTACCTTCCATCAAGAAGATCTCAAGGAAAAAAAGTAGGAACATAACGCAAAGTTTACCATCGCTACCTCCCAATTTAGATTCTCAGTTTTGTCATTGCTTTGAAGCTTCTTGGAAGAATTTCACTCTCCCAGAGCTCCAAACAGCAACTGACAACTTCAGCCATGGTATACAGCTTTCTAAATTCCTACTTTTCATGCTTTCTGGAGAAATGTGATCAATTGCATGTTAATAAACAATGTGTTTGTCTGTGGTATACAATGAATTCATCATATGCTTCAATAGCACTTCTATGCAACTCACATTTCTTTTTGTTTTCCGGCATGCCTAATCAAAGATAATTTGATTGGGGAGGGAGGTTATTCTGAAGTTTACAAGGGTCACCTGCAAGATGGCAAACTTGTAGCAATTAAAAGGCTGACGAGAGGAAGCCCTGAGGAGATGACAGCAGACTATTTATCTGAGCTAGGTATCTTAGTACATGTCAACCACCCGAACATTGCTAGTGTAATTGGATATGGGGTTGAAGGGGGAATGCACCTTATCCTTCCTTTGTCTCCTCATGGAAGCCTGGCCTCCCTCCTTAATGGTTTGTTCTTGTCTTAGTTGCCAATGTTATTTTTCTTTCACTATGCAGAACAATCTAGTTTTAATGGTTCTTTTGGACTTCTGGTTCAGGTGAGAAGGAGAAACTAACCTGGGGCTCTAGATATAATATTGCTGTAGGAATAGCCTCTGGCCTTGCATATCTACACGAAGGATGTCAAAGGAGAATAATTCATAGAGATATTAAGGCTGCTAACGTTCTGCTTACAGAAGATTTTGAGCCGCAGGTAACTTCAGGAAAAGAAAAAACCAAGAACGATTAATAGATATTGCTGTCCTTTATCCTCTACAACTAATTTTACTTGGTTATTTACTTCTACTTCTTCTTGAAGTGATTGTTCTGGATACTAAAATTTTGGTTTGATGCAGATTTCGGATTTTGGGCTTGCAAAGTGGCTTCCGGATCAGTGGAGTCACCTGAATGTATCACAGTTTGAAGGCACTTTCGGGTCTGTCAGATATGATACTACTTGTCGTAATTCTGATTATAATCTGATCTTTGTTACAATGCTCTTAACGTTAATCCTGCAATGACAGCTACCTTCCTCCTGAGTTTTTCTTGCACGGCACGGTGGACGAGAAAACTGATGTCTACGCATTTGGAGTGCTAATGTTGGAACTCCTATCTGGACGTCCAGCACTGGATAAGTCAAATAACAGTGTCGTGATGTGGGTATGTAGAAATTTAAGATATTTGTTTAAATAAGTACACATCTAGTTATATGCACTTTTAGCAAAAAAAAAGCCATGCTTGTTTGTCGGACTGGTGAAAAACTGATAGAAAATGCGACTTATTTTGTTGCAGGCTAAACCTTTTCTTATAAGCAAAAACGTTGAGGGGCTACTGGATCCATCACTTGGTGGTGTTTATGACGCAGAACAGCTGAATCGCATAGTTATGGTTGCTTCTTTGTGCATACAACAATCTTCAACAGAACGGCCTCAGATGAGCCAGGCACGTCCTTCTCCCTAAAATACCACTGAAATTTATGCAGGCTTTGTTTTGAAAGACCTAATTTAGGCCGCACCGCACATTGATAAGAATGCTGTAATATTGACTATCATGCTTTTGGGTGGAAGGAACTTAAAATATTTTAGGTGGACTCTTTCTGCACTTCTATCCCTAGATAATCCCGAGAAAATAAGAAACTGTTTAGTTCCAGTCAAAAAGCAATCAGCTGCAAAATTGTATACTTTGGTTGAACTCAAGAAGTAAATTTTCTACTGAAGTCGAGGGCAGAATGAGACTGAATCTTTTGCCCATTTTCTTGGGCATTAAAAGATGTTTTGACTCAAAACTATCTTGAAAAAGCAGCTTCTTCAAACATTTCTTCTGTATTTTCGACACTCCCACCGGAAGACAGGATAGAGCTTTGATGTGCAGACTTTATCAACACTCTTTGCTAACTCATTATCGGTAGATTATCATCCATTTGGTTTGTTTGTTATCCTGCACGTCTCTAAATCAGTAGAAATTCATGCATTCAGGTGGTGAGGATGTTAAAAGGCGACGAAGGCTTCTTGCAAAGCAAGAAAAAGTTCCAAAAAAGGCCTGCCCTCAGGAGGACATATCCTTTGGAGCTGTACACCATCGACGAATCAATGCCATGTGTGAATGATGCAGGCCAACAAAATGAGGTTGCAGTGGAGCAGTAAAGATTTGTTCAATCAAGCAGTGGCACTGCGAGGGCATTCTTGAAACAGAAGGTTGAATAGCATTGTCATTGCATGATTTAAGATCATGCATCATCATCATCTTCTTCTTATGCCATGAGAAAATCCAGCATAGACTAGACTTTTTCCTGGAGGGTCTGTCTTGAAAATGCTTTGTACATACTATATAACCAACACGAGGCCGGCTGACATGTAGAAGGAAAAGCGATGAGATTCTTAGAGCTGTAGTATTTACATTTTTTATGCTCAATCCTGTAGAAAAGGATTACCAGCTTTTACATCAACCATATTTTAGGGAAAATGATTGTAATAGTAGAATACAGAAAACTAATTCTCCATGAATTTTGATACACTTTTGAAGTTTTGAATTGTTGGCGTCATGTAACAAAAGTACTAAGTATGATGCATGATGATGATAAAACTAAGTCCACCAACTAATGCGTGGGTGTAGGCTACCATGGGCGTCTAATCAACACATCTACCCTGCTCTGCCTGTAAATTGTTGTAGTTAGTTGGGGTGGGATTTTTGGGTTTGGATACTCAGAGCTCATTAATGGCGTTATTCATACTTCATTTTGTAAAAGTTGGCATTCTATTGAAGGAATGCATGCAAGCAGTCAATTTGATATGTTTGCATTCCTAATGTTGAATGAGAAAAAAAATTTAAAAAAAAAGTCTCACATCAAGGGTGGCACCAAAAGTAGAGCTGTTAATCGAATCGTGTAGCTCGCGAGCCGAGCTCGACCTGGCTCGATAAGGGCTCGACTCGGTTCATTTACCGAGAAAAATGAGCCAAGTTCGAGTTGTATATATACTCGTATATTAAACAAGTCGAGCTATACTTGACTGGCTAACAAGTCGACCGGCTTGAATAGTAGGGGCATTATCGCAATTTCATTGTGTATCTGATAGTGTTACCCTCTTTCCTTTTCTCGATAAGAGCTCAACTCGGCTCGATTTTGAACTCGAGTTCGAGTTTTCAATTGAGTTTGACGAGTCAATCTCAAACAGCTTTTGAAACTCGAATTACTAATCGAGCGAGCTCGATTGGGGGTTCGAGTCGAGCTCGATTATCATGTGTTCGAACTCGACTCGACTCGGTTAACAGCTTGGTCCAAAAGCCACTCATGGCTGTGTCCCCTCTGTACAAATTTGCATCAGTATGCTTGTAAAATTTTTTTTAAATTAACCAAAAAAAAAAACCCAAGTCATGTTAGGGGATAGGATCCACCTACCAAGAAACAATTCATGCTGATCCCACAATTTTAAAATCTTGAGACAAAAATTGAAAGTGCAAGAAATTTAAAGGAAAAATGGCCAATTTTGTCCTTAAACTTTTTTTATTGGTGTCGATTTAGTTCCTAATTTTTATTTTTGACCAATTTGATACTTGAACTTACTCCGTAGTGGCACTACTACCTAAAACTGATTTGTCTTCTAATTGACTAATTAAGCAAGGGTATTATGGAAACACCATTCACGGGACTGTAATAAAACAAATAAATCGTTTAAAAATTACCAGATAATACTTTTAAATCGTGCAAAAAATCACCACATAATTTTTTTTGAAGTTTCAATCTTGTAATTTTTTACACAATTTACTTGATTTATTACAATGCCGTAAATGACATTTTTAAAATACCCCTATTTAGTTGATAAAGCAAAAGCCACATCAATTTTAGGTGGTGGCACTGCAAAAGTCCTTAATCGAAACCATAAAATAAGTTCAAGTATCAAAGTGATTAAGAGAAAAAGTTAAGAATTAAATTGACAGTATTGAAAAAGTTTAGGGACAAAATTAACCTTTTATTGAATATAAATATACATGATCAAAAAAGAAATATATATATATATATACACACACATTTATATATGATAGGATAAAATGATAAAATTGTTTCAAATTTGTGCACAATTAACTTATTGTTCATAATAATTTTTAGACAAATATCAAATTGTAGAAAATCCTAGTGACAACTAAAAGTCAAAGGCGTGGGAAAACACATCAGCAAAACTTTTCTCCAAAATAAAGTCAAGACTTCATTAATTTAATTGTTCCCGGAAAAACTTTTCCAATCCTGCCAAAATACTCTTAACCCTCAGCTCCGCAATGAAATTCCCGCGATCCTCTTTCTTAATCTTCCTTTCCATCTCATTATCAATCGTAGCTACATCTTGGAGCTCTTCAATTATCAATCCCTCGAAGGTCAAACAAATTTCATGGAAACCCAGGTATTGTTATTAACGTTGACCACTAAATGGTGTAACTTGAATTACTTTAACGACATTATTCAGTAGTTTAAATTTGATCACTTCTTTATTTGTTTTGTGGGGCTTTTCCAGGGCTTTTGTGTATAAGGGATTTCTTACGGATGAAGAATGCAATCATTTGATTTCTCTGGTATGTTCAATTGCTTATTTTTTCCCCCAATTTTGTCAATTTTTTTGGAATATTGAAGTTTGGTTTCTTTATTTGGCGTCATTGTTGATGGAGTAGGCGAAATCGGAGCTGAAGAGATCGGCGGTGGCGGATAATTTATCTGGCGAAAGTAAGCTCAGCGAGGTTCGGACTAGCTCCGGCATGTTTATTCCTAAGGGAAAGGTTCGACTTTTATCCCCTATTCGTTTAGTGGTTTTTGAATTTACCATTATATCCTGATCAAAGTGTCAGAAATGTATTCCAAAATTATTTTTTGCTGGATGAAGTTAGATCTATTATGAGGAGTTTTTTCACCCACCAAAAAGAAAGGAAAAGAAAAAAATTGGTGGGAGTAATTTGAGTTTGTTTTTGGAATTTTTATTGAGGATTTGATCATTGGAACTTTGAGTTTTAAATTGGAGAATTAAGAGAGGATAATTGCGCGTGAAATGCAGTTCAATTATCTTGTTTATGCAATATTTATTCGAGAAGCAACATTTGCACAAACTGCATCACTTGTTATATTAGTAACTGAAGAATTAGAGACTCAGTTAAGGTGGTATGATAGAAGACGTGCTAATCCATTGATCTGCAATCATGACATGTGGGAACTCCACTACAAATTTATCTGTGTTAAACATGGCAAATATAATTTCAATAATCAAGAAGAAGGTATACGAGCAGGAATGGAAGAATGGCCCAAAATCTGCAAAGTTACTATTTTAACAGAAAATCACTAAAAACAAACCACATGATAGTGACTTGTTTGAATTCATAACTGATCAATCAAGGATTTGCCTGTTGAAATAGATAATAGCTTATGGATATCACTCTGGTTTGTAGTCTGAAACTCGAATATCTGAAGTTTTTGCCCTCCAGCATATCCTTTCACGACTTCATCATAGTTTTGACAGCGTTCGCATTATTTGGATCTGCTGGTTTTGAAATTTATAATTGCCTTACTGTGTTTTGTCTATATTTTATCTGCAACATGTGTTACCAAATTTTTCATGGTTTACGGCACTTTAGTAAATGCATGATGAGGATCTAAGAAGCTCTATCCATAATGGCTTATCCTGGACCTTTTTTTTTTGTGGATTTTATTTTAATTTTCGCCCTTGGGAGGCAACTGGTAAGATCAACTGAGGCAATAGCTATTTATATCATTCCTTTTCCATGCTTCCAAACTGGACTAACTAGCATGTACTGTAAAACATGATATCTGTTACTTCTGCAGTCCCAATTATACTAGTTGACTGATTATTTTATTGCTAACCCCATGCTTCTTTTTCTGACATTCTTTCTCATTACCTCTCATACCAATAGGATCCCATTGTTGCCGGTATAGAGGAGAAAATTGCGACATGGACCTTTTTACCTAAAGGTGTGCCTCATGTTAAACCGAGCTCCAGTAGTGGAAATTCCTCTCTCACATCAATATTTTGCGGCCTGAAATATCGGGTTCAGCTCACTACAAAGATGCAGCCGCACTCCACGAAAATTTTTGTCCCCTTTTTAAATGACTGAGATGCTGGCATGTACACCATTTATGTGCAATACTTACTTTGATATCACGTCGTGTGGCAGCTTACCTTTTTAAAAGATTTCTCTGGGTTATTGTTAAGATTTGTGTCTCAACAGCAAATTCCCCTTAGCTATCCGAGCCTCAAATACTGAAACCCCGTATGGCTCCACTTAAATAACACATCTTCCCTGTGGAAATGAGGACAAAGGGTTTGGTTTGCAAATCATGGGCAGAAAGATTTTTTTTTTTGGCAAAATCCAAAGAATTTGGTCCAGCTAGAGTCCTTGCTTTCTCACTCTCATTCATCTTCAACCTTCTTATCTGACTAGCATCTTGTGAAAATTTCCTCTAGACCACCAAAGTGTGCTTTAACTATGGGTGCATGGATGATGGGAGGGTTTGATTGCTAGTTAACTGAATTGGGGCTCATATTACTTCCTTTCTGCAGAGAATGGTGAAGACATACAAGTACTTCATTATGAGTATGGACAGAAATATGATCCGCACTATGATTACTTTGCCGACAAGGTGAATATTGCTCGTGGAGGACACCGTATAGCCACAGTACTGATGTATCTCTCTGATGTTGAAAAAGGGGGCGAAACAGTTTTTCCTAATGCTGAGGTTAGTTGACACGATATGACTTTTTATTCCATTTGCTCTAACACTAATATTATATCTTATGTGTTGCCAAAATCAATTACTCTTTGCCATTTCCCTTTATCCATTTTTTTTTTTGGTGAGTTTCCTTATGCACAAACCTTTTGGTTAATGTGCCAGCTGTTTTGTGCAGTATAAATCAGTACTGGCTTTGAACTTTTAGTCCTATAAGTTTTGGTGATAATTAGTTGTAAGATTTAATTTCCAGCAATTAATTATGGTTAGTTGTGCTTTGGGTCTGTATGATATTTAGTTTTTAGAAATTAATTACGGAAAAGTTGTGCTTTTGATTTGTAAAGGCTAGATGTGCCAAAGGCTTAATTTCACAATACCAGAGAAAAGTTTTTTCTTAGTATCAGTACTGAAAGGCCCTAGCTAGGGCTTGCGAAACTATAATGAATGAGAGGCAGGACATGTGTTTTATGCGAAATTGTGAAACCTCTGCTTTATGGGTACATGTACTGTTTTGTTTCTCATCATCTAACGTGATATTCATTTGTTAATATTTGTAGAAATTTTTTCCTGCATCTTATTAAGTTCTCATGGTCCTGTGGGGATTCTGTTCTCTAAATAAAAATTTCCAAAAAAAAAAAAAAAAAACTCTGCAGGATTTATCCCGTCGGCGATCTATGACTAGTGATGAGGATCTGTCAGACTGTGGGAAGAAAGGTATCGCAGGTGAGGCCTTAGAGTTAGTCATGCTTTGGTAATATATACTGATATTGTGGATTCAGAAATTGATTCCTGATTGACCCTTTGATTTTTCTTTCCCGCAAAAATTGGAACTTTCTAGTGAAACCTCACAAAGGAGATGCACTTTTATTCTTCAGTCTGCACCCAAGTGCCATTCCAGACCCTATCAGTCTTCATGGGGGTTGCCCGGTGATTGAAGGTGAGAAATGGTCGGCAACAAAGTGGGTTCATGTAGACAACTTCGACAAGATTTTGGGATCCACTGATAACTGCACAGATACAAATGACAATTGTGAGAGATGGGCAGCCCTAGGCGAATGCAAGAAAAATCCGGAGTATATGGTGGGATCACCAGAAATTCCAGGGTCGTGTAGGAAGAGCTGCAAAGTCTGTTAGGAGTTATGTAGTATGATGCTTTCCACTGACAGGCATTTTTGTCTGAGAAATCACTGTACTTGTTCATTATTTAAATGGTATTCCTGTTTATTGAGGGTTTTAGGCGTGACTGCTACTCTGAATTTTCTCAAGAGATCAGAGCACACGTATATGCATTGTATTTACTATTTACTCTACTCAAGCTTAATAATTTTTTCTTCCCTTTTAGTTTCCTTCTCTTCACCCTATTTAGCTTAATCAGAGGCTTTACAGCATGCCATTAGTACAATAGATTGAAATTAACTCACACCGCATCGTTATAATCGCTCAATGCTTGAGCGCTAAACAAAAAGCTTAGATCATTCCTATTGACCATTCCAGTTTATATCGGGCTATTTGGTTTTACCTTGTCAACTAACAAGTAGTACATCATAAGGTTGGTTAATGGGCGTTCGATTTGTCCTCAAATCCTCATATGCAGAAATTGTTGCCCCATTGCAAAGATTAATGAATTGCCATCATTACTGGAGTCACCAAACCCCGAAAACTCTTCTAGCTTCATTCTTTTTAGTTTCTACCTTCCGTGGGCAGAATTATGCATGCCTGAAACCAGATAGAACGAGGGAAATTGAAAGAGCATCTCTGTGGGCTCACGGTGACCAGGATAAGTTACAAGGAGATTCACCCGAAATTTTGAATTTTAACCGACTGCACCGAACCCAGCTAGCTAGAAACAGATCTGCAAATGCTTTTGGACTATATATATGGTGAGTTTGATCACGTCAGAGGAGGAGGTGGAAACCTTGATTTCTTGCGCCAGAAAGATTGATTCCGATTTCTGACTTCTGTATGTGTGATTTCTTGATGGTTAAAAGGCTTTTGCATCTTTTCCTAGTGAGTGACCTTCCGTGTAATTTGGGCAAAACCCGAACAAGCTCTGCCATCACTTGACTTGAACGAGTATACTGTACACCGCTGGTAAGGGGCACCCCGCACAGGGTACAAAAGTTGATAGCATGCGCCCAATTATGGGTGAAAAGATGAACAAATTATTCAGAGTTGGCCCAAATTCCATTGATCAATACTGCCTTATAATCAACTTGATACCCACCTTATTCAATTGTATGAATTTTTTGACTTCATATTCAAGGTGAATTCTATAAATATGAATTCCAAAATTTCCCCTATGGAAAAATCAATTCTTAATTAAGTTAGCCTTCAGTCTGCACCCAAGTGCCATTCCAGGAATTTTCTCATTCCGCATCTAGATCTAGTTAGGTTCATACCTAGTTTTCTCGCACTTACTTGACCCAATTAATTATCCCTCTTAGCTAAAAACACCTAGGTAATTTTTTCGTCATTAAAAGAAGAACAGTTGCCACACACACTTTTCTGACGTTTCACTTTCTGTCATTTCACTTTCTTGGCCCATTCGTCAAATCGCACTGGGCGGGGCAGCGGAACTCTTCACTGCAATGCATCCAACAGAACTGCCAAGAAATGTCCAACCCCTATTTATTTGTCCAGACGTTCCCTCATGCATCATGCGCTAATTCTGTAGGGTGGTACTGGTACCACTAGTCTAGCAGCAGCAGCAGGAAGTAGGAACCCGTGCTCGTCATTTCATCATCCACTCTGAAACAGACGTGGCCACCTCCAATTTCTCTAAATTTGCTTGAGTCGGCGGCCTCAGTCCATGTATGTAAGTGTAACCCTAGCTAGAAGGGGAATTGTTTCTTAGTCCAAAATCGAGAACAACACAAAATAGTAGTGTGAGGTTAACCCATAGTTTTCCCAATGGTGACATTTCATTAATTTTATCAAGTTTACATTTACATTTTGTTATGGCGAGAAGATAAATTCAATACTCCTATTGAAAATTGAAACCCGCACTCTTGATGCATTAATTAATGTCCTATATATGTCATCAGCATCATCATCGACAACTTGCTGTTAAGTTGATTTATTAGTACGTACGCATTTCCCTTTGTCAAGAGGAATTTATTTATTTGTCAAATGCAGTCCCCAAATTGATGGCACAAATTAGCATTTCGATCTGTGCTATGCACCGATTTATTTTTTAATTTAAAATAAAAATATATATATATATATATATTTATATATTGTAATACAGAATAAAATATATGCAAAAAGCAAAAAAAATATACTAAATTTATAATATAGATTAAAATTTATAACCATATATCAAAATTTATAATATAAAAAACATAAATGATAACTAATTCATGTTCCTCGATTTTAGAAAGTTTTTTCCTCCGACATTCAAAATTGTTGAGTGCTTATAAAATAATATTTTTCATAGACTTTAATATAGATTAAAAAAATCTTTGTAAGATGTGTTATTAGAGTTTTCATAAATATTAAAAACTATCTCCTATGACCTTTGCATCTCCAATCACAGTGCCATTCTTCCTATCATTTTTTAACACCTCTGTCATATCCCACAATTTTCTTATTTCTTTCCCCCTTTATCCACCCAACTTTGTAGTTCACATTCATTTTTTGACTTTTTCCGCCACTCTTTAACTCTTTAACTCTTGAATATTCCTTTCCCCTCTCCTCTAACTTCCTATCCCTGCACCCTAATTTTCCACCATTTTTTCTTTATTAGTCTCTCAAACCCTCGGATAGGTCCCCTCCGTCCCAACCTCTATCCCTCAAGCCTGGCCTTCTCCAATTCCTTCTTTTACTCCTCTCTTCTTCTTCCACTCGGCCAAACCAGAATAAAGTAATATTACAATTTTTCATTTACGATATATTATGCTGTAAAAATTCTATAGTTTTCTCTTATATGCTTATGAGAATTACATGTACACATATGTATCTACTATGTCATGTTTGTGTTGGGATTTTTTTAAAAATAGTAGTAATTACGATTGGCATTTCCTACTTTTGAAAGTTTTAGTTTCTTTTTTTTTTATTGAAAACATAATTTAACATATTGTTAATGTTACATTACTACAAAGTAAATTGGGCGGGATAAAAAATAAAAAAGAAAATTCAATACAAAAGTACAAAAAAAACTAAACTTAGTTATTTTTTATATTAATTTTGAATTGGCCACGCACAAAAAAAAGAATTAAATTTTTTCTAATTTTCAAAGGAGAAATTTTGTGATTGAATCCGTATTCAATCTCCAAATTGAGGGGTTAACATTTGAAGTAAAAGAAAAAATTTCCATAACTTGAAATTTGGTTTTATATTTTTAAAATGTACTTATATTTGTACTTTCAAAATAAATTGAAGAGATAAAAATTGAAACAAAAGAAAATCATAACTTGCAATTTGGTTTAACATGTTTGCAATATATCTCATAATATGAAAATCATATGAAATTGAAAATTGAACACAATGGTTGCAAGTATTGACATTCGAAAATGCAAACGAAGCCCTGACTGCTATATATATATATATATATATATATATATATATATATATATAATAGTTACATATTTACATATGAAGAAAACAAAAGGAATACATAAAATAATGAATAATACCCAAGGCTATTCTTAGCATTTGAGTTTTGCACCATTATTCAAATTTAATTAGAGTCAAATTTGTATCAGATATATACAAATTAAATAGATGCAATTTAGGGTCAAAAGTTTTATATTTTTCCATGTTGAAAGGCCGATAGGACTTCGTTTTTTGATTTAGTGATTTCATAATTTAAACTTAATGAATAGTACCATTCTTGATTTTTTAGATCTATGACTAATGGATATTATTTCTTTTTTGTTTTCTATATAGTTTGCCATTTTAGGTAAAATTATTAAGTTGAAGTGTAAAATATTGTTATTTACTTTTTTACTTTTAATAGGTGTGGTAATGTTTCTTCTTTATTTACTCTCATATTAATAGTTATCAAACCATATTCCTATTTAAGTAGAACATCCTCTTACTTTTTAAATTCAAAAGACATGACAAGATACATAACAATTTAAAAAATTCAAAATTCTATGAAACAAGAATTACCAGTTGGAAGCATCTATATACATATATATATATATATATATATGAAAGTAACTATTTTAATTAGAGTTATTTTTCACTTCTATGTGGTATGCCTAATTGAAGAAAATTAATGGGTTATAAGTCATTTGGGTTTTACCCATATTGAATATTATATTTTATGTTTATAAATTATCCCTAATTTTAAAATAGCTTAAAAAATAACTAATATTATCTTAATGATATCTAAAATAAATTTTAAAAATAACTAATTTTATCTTAATGCTTTCTATGAAATTACTACGTAGAACTTTAGTAACATCTTTTTCAAATCACAATTATTAAAATTTTACATATTCCATAAATTACTTTCTTTTACCACTATATCATTGATTAGTATTCAAATTGTTTATCATCTCTTCTGTTAATTTTGAATTAACGTAGTACAAAAACGAGAATTAAATGTTACACCAATTAAATATTTATTGATGAAAAAAATCAGATAGCTGAATCTTTTCTACGTAATTAAATGTGAATATATAGTTCTAGGTTTATGGTCATTATAGTTCTAGGTTTCTACCTAATTATAGTTATAGGTTTATGGTCATTATAAAAATTTAAATTATCTAAAAGAATATTTATATATAAAAAAAGAATATCTACCAAGTTTTTGATATGGGATAACATTATTTGATATATGCTCTCATACTTTTAATGAAAGTATGTAAACAAATTTTTAAAAATTAGTAAATAATTGAACGTTTAGAATATATTAATTTTTTAAATTTAATATGAATGAACATGTATAATTGTTGTTAATTTTTATATTTAAATTATTCATATTTATATAAATTTATAATAAATAATAAAAGAAACCATGCTAAGGTACAGACAAAATTCTAGTTTTAACTTAATCATAATGAAAATCTCTTCTCAAATTTATATAAATATAAATAAGTACTAGATGAGTTGCCTGTAATTCTGTGCAAACTTATATACTATATATATATAGTGACACATAAGGACGGACGAGTCTTTTTCAGAAGCTGAAAATAACACACACACACACTTAAGAACAAATACGGAGTTAACGGATAAATCGACCCGAAAGCAAATGTAAGGACGGACACGCACGCACACAATTAGAACACACGCACACGTAAGGACGGACGAGTCGAGATGAAAGCAAATGGTCACTCAAAAGAAAAAAAGGGCAAAAAGAGGACCGCAGTAAAATTAATCGGGCTTTTGTCTTGTGACAGTACACAGACAGACACTTCTGCTGGGACATATCCTCGTCTCTGTGGATGAGAGTTGATTGACGCGGTCAAATGGCAGGTATGGTGATGGAAGTATGTGCGTGTGTATGACATAGTGACACGTAAGGAAGTGGGGATGAGAGGAATTAGACACCCCAAAAAAGATTAAAAAAAAAACTCAAGTAAAATCAATAGTGGTTTGACAAAAAAATAAAATCAAATCAAATAGTGGGTTTTTCGCTTTTCGTTTTTTGCACCGTCCCGTTTAAATTGTATTTTTCATCATTTTTTATAAAAATTCTATTTTAACAATTTGATGAATGTTAATAAAAAAAATATAATAAAAAAATATAAACATGAAAAATGACGCAATTTTCTAATAGGAAATGACAATCCGTTTGGGACACTGCTGCAGCCATCCCATGTGGATGAAGACAGTCGATTGACGCGGTCAAGTACTAGCTAATGGTTGACAGTTAAAAGAGTAGTGTGCAAATAATTGCACCGTACAAATTAGGTGGGTGCACAGGAATTTAAAGGCCTGACCAACCTCCCCTCTCTCTCCTCCGGGTAGTTTTTTTTTTTTTTTTTTTTCGAGTGACATTTATTTACATCCCTTCTCATATGTACGCTAAAAGATGGACAGAAGAAATGTGTATGATACACAGAACATTGCACAAAAACGAAAATCTGCTAAATCTCTCATCTATTCCTTAAAAAAGTAGTTTTAGTAAAAAGAAATTCTGCATCCTAAAAATTTCTGCTAGGGTACCCATAAACACAAATTCCTATCATTAAACCCTTACTATTGCTAGGGTACTACTTTTCCGTCAGACTACTCAGCGGAGGCCTTCTTCTTCTTCTTCTTTTTTTTGGGGCAGAGGACAGCTGGGATCAATGACCTGTACTTGTCGTGTTTTGTTCCGAGTAAATATAATGACGGGTGGGAAATGTACGCCTTATATATGTGTGCGCAAATTAAATGAAAATTTTATAAGGAAAAATAGTGAGCAGTTATTCAAAATTTTTATTAGGCTGTAATGTTGTGATTTTTTTCATATAGTTAAACTAAAAAAATTATTTATGGTTGTTGGAGGGTTCTTCTATTTAGCATTTTAGTGAAGGATAAATAAGGAAAAATAAAAAAGTGACAAAAAAAAATTCACATCATACCCCTTATATCAGCTTGCACTATTTTTATCTGTGACAAATACACACTGGATATATGTGTCAATAAAAAATACATAATATTTATAGCCATGTATTTTATTTACAATTTTTATTGTTAAATGATTTGAGTAAAGAGAGTGTAAGTGATATGTCTCGAGTTCAAATCCTTCCACTCACCCAAAAAAATCTTTTAATTTTTTAATAAAATAATTCTATACCAGCAATTATAATGCTTAAGGAGATTTATGTTATAAATATATGCTTAAATAGTTACAACTAAAACAATCATGGGTGTTGACAACATATGTGTAGATAGTTTAAGTAAAAATAATTTTTATAAGCGCAAATAAAAGTTCATAAAGTGACAATAAATGTTTACTTCAAACCCCTTCCTCCCTATTTATACATACTAGTCGGTGGAACACACGTTGTATGTAGGGATGGCAATGGGGGCGGGGGCCCGCCGCGGGGGGCTCTCGGGGCGGGGGGTGGGGGGGAATTTTTTCCCCCCGCTTAGAAACGGGGCGGGTCCCCGCCACCCGCAAAACAAAAAAAAAAAAAATATATATATATATATATATAATTATATATAATATGTAAGTTAATTAGTTATAAACTTATGATAATGATATTATTAGTTAGATGTATTATATAATGTATATTAGTTTATGTAATATAATTGATATTATCAATTATATGAATAATTATACATGTCTACTAATAGAATTTATTAATTAGTTATACTAAATTTACTAATACATTTATACTAAATTTCTAATTACACTTAATAGAATAACACTTTTTTCTCAAAAAAAAGCACAAATACAATAATGAATTAGTGATTGCATTTGTACTAAAAGTGAAAACTTGACTATTTTAGTTATATTTATTTCATCATATTGGATTGTATTCAAATAACTTCTGTTTGATTGTTTTTATGAGTTTCAATTGTAAAATTACAATGAATAATAATTTGGTGATGTGTTGATATTTTAGTACTTGATTATTTATTAAAATTTAATTATAATAAAATTATATTAACCCCGCGGGTGCCCCCGCGAGGGAAGCGGGGCAAGACGGGGTGGGGCGGAGGGAGCGAGAAGCGGGGGACGGGGGGAACTAATAGGCAACGGGGCGGGGGGTGGGGGAGGGGTCCCCCGCCCCGTTGCCATCCCTAGCTGTATGTGTGCATATTTTAGAAACAAGTACGATTTTTGAAAAGTGATGCAATATTCATTGGTGGATTAGTTAATTGTAATAGTACTTATGTAGGAGTGGAAGATTTTTGGGATAAGATGTGGGTGAATATTGGTAAATGTTGGGATAATATTTTTGAAATAACAAATAATGATACTTTTTATTAACACCACATCCCTGCTCACGCTTTATTATATAGAGAGATACTCATGGGAAAAGCATACCCTATGGATGTGCAATTAAGAAAAATTAAGTTATCTTTTAATTTCTTTTTTTTAAGAAGTTATACAACCCTTTATTACAAACAAATAAAAAACAAATAGAAGTTATTGGGTGTGAAGTTATTAGAAGTTACAAATTTAGTAGTTATCCTTAGTGCATTTTATTTTTTATAGGGATAAATTTGAAAAATGTAAAAATGAGACAAAATTTTAACATCAAACCCCCTCCTCATGCTTTATATATGACTAGTGCTCAAGGCACACCCATGTGTGTGCAATTTAAGAATAAATTAATTTTTATGAAATTTTTTTAAATAAATTGATAGTTGTCTTGGTAGTTATTTTGGTAATTAAATTTTTTTTATAATAAAAGTTTGGATATTTAAACCTATTGATAGTTGCAACAAAAATTATGTTGGTTATATATAATTGGATAGTTAGGATAAAATTTAGTATTTCTGATGATAAAAATGAAAGTTTAAGAAGTGACAAAAGATGTTTAGTGGATAATAGAGATTGAGAATAGGGATAAGGGTTAATAGATAATAGATATAAGGGTAAATTTGAAAACACACTAAGTTAACACTAAGTTAACTACCTACATAGACTTTATTATTGTAAAGATATGAGAGATATACAAGTATTTGTATAATTTTTTTACAAAAATAATACTTATATTAACTTTTCTAAAATTACTATGCTTTGTAGAGTGGTTATGGATAATTATTACAACATTTGGGTGCTCATAAGTAGCCATGTGGTAAAATGTGGTTATGTTGGTAGGGTAAAAAATTTATTTGCGCTAACTATCGGTGCTTTGACCATGATGCATGATGCACGCATAGACGGAAAGATATATAGTGAGATAAGAAATAAATCAAAAGGAAATGGCCTAAAACTACTACTAAATGATGATAATTCTACTACTCAAAAAATTCATAAACTCTAAATGAATTATTTTAATATTTTTTCTATCTTATAAATCTAGCTCCATAATAATATACACCATCAAAAGTATCCCATCATAGTGATAAAATTGTTAGTATAGTTATTTATCAAATAATAGGTATCGACATGAAAAATTTGGCGTTTTTTCCTTATAATTATACTAGATAATCTTATAATTGTATAGAAAAGTAAATTAAAACTTATTACACAAGGACATATTTGGGTATTCATTTAAAAATTTGACCAAATCAAATATTATTTGAAGGTTTTGTTATTAAAACTATCAAATTAAGAGAGGTAAGTGTAATTTTTTAAACTTTAGGAGAACTAATTGAAATTATTAGAAAATTCAGGGGAGGTTTCTGAAATTATCCCCAAAAAAAAGGATCTAAAGGAGTGGTCCAATAATAAATTATATAAAGTGGTGCCGCTTAAATAGTAAAGGCCCCCAAAGTTTCCTGTTTTTAAGCTGTCCTCGCTGCCTAAAGTTTCTGCTTAATGAACCCTAGTACTAATTATCCTTGCAGACGGATCCTCCGTCTAATATTTTGTGTCCACTTTTCTGTCCAATGTAAAAATACATAGTTTCATTTATTATACCTGCTGATATGACGCATGAAAAAGGAAGGCTGTTTGACTGATTTATACTTCTTCTTCTTTCTTCTTTTTTGGATTTTCACTTAAGTCCTGGACTTGGCTGAAATAATAGAAATAGATAGTAAAATGCTAAAATGCTTTGACTGTATAGATAGTAAATAATAGAAATAGATATCGTTAACTTCATAGCAGTCCTTAAGAGTTTCCTTTCCCCAATTTTCTCTCGTTCCATCTTCTTCCCTGCTTTGCTCTTGGCAGACTAGAACCTTCATTGCATCCCAGCAAGAAACCTTGACCCGTCTCTCTGCTACCAGGATGAATCCTGTATTCTTCACCGCTTTTATAACCTTCTTGTCTCTTATTCCTAATCTTCTCGCGATTTGGTATTTTACAGTTCTTCTGATTGGCTCGGCTAGCCATCTCCAAGCCCCGCTTTGCAATGTCTGTGCCGATAGTTAGGGAGGACCAGAACTCAATTGTCCTATCCAGTTCTACTGAAGTCCAACTTATGATCTGTGGTGGGATGATGAACGGGGGGGATGTGGCCATTACAGAAGAGAGCACTATCAGGTGTCAACCAACTAACGGTCTGCTGCACACAAAAAAGAAAAGATAATAGACACGATAATTCCATGAATTCTTTCCAACTATGGATTTGATGAATTCTTTCATAATGATTAGATGAAGGTGAGTGTGTTGAGTTGCAGGTCTGACTTGTTTTTTACGTTAATTAGTTGTCAAAATCTGTTAATCAAGTATCTGGTTCAGTACCTGGACATGGTCTTTAATTTTTTGTTCATTTTCTCATTGGTTTTCCCTCTTTGTTGTTTAGGTGGATGGATGGATTTCCAGCATTAAATCCGGCTGCCGGGTTTAAACAGAGGTTCGCCCCTTGGGTTTTAAAACTGCTGTCTTACTTGTCAAATTTGGTGATAAGCTTTGTCTTTCATACCTGTTCATTTTCCTGCTTTTTCAGGGGTTTGACAACTGCAAATATTTTCCTAAAAAGTGCTTTGTTAGACCATTCTGAATCAAAACATATGGATAGGTCATGATCAAACTAATGTATTTTGTTATCATGAATCACATTGACTTGTTGAGTTTTCCGAAGATAAGATTCAACAATATAAATGCTTGCCAAGAGCTATAGGATGGAAATTTTGAATATCAGAAAATATAAATTAATATATAAGTGTTGGAACATTAACTTTGTTGATAACGTGCCAGTTGTATTGACAAATTTATTTCACATTTTCTAAAGGCTTTTGTGACGTCTTTGCAGCTCATTTAAGCAGTAAGAGGGGTGAGCAATCGATAGGGTATGAATACCAACATAGACTATACTATTTTTGTGGATAGTAAACCAAGGTCACATGTCGTCATAGGATAGCGTAATGGTATAAGATTATAGAGACTGTAATTGATAGGATTAGGCACAAGTTTATGCCTAAAAGAGATATACATTGTGGATATGGAGACCATAGTAGGATCTGTGCCTGTATTGAACCTTAAAATGTATTAGTCCAATATATAAGACGAAAAAGAACTATCCTAAGATAGATAAGATGAAATTACAAATCCAATATGAGGTCTAATTTTTTTTCTTTTCTTAGTTAATGCTTTAGAAGGTACAAATCCAATGGGAGGTCTAATTGTTATTTTCTTAGTTAATCCTTTAGAAGGTAAATGATCATAAAACAAATGTAGCTACAAACTCTCTGTGAAAAATGAAGTACATATTTGTAGTACAGAATAAGCAGTAAGAGATAAGAGTTATTTATTCAAAAGTTTGGTCGGTATTCAAATAATTTTGTGATGAATAGGAAATATTATTATTGGTATACAAACAAAATTTTCAAACATTTCAACTAAATTGAAAACTTTGCCCATTCTCATGGAGCCACTATTCATTTGGAGTATTTAACCATTGGAAAATTTTGTTTGCTAGAGTATTGAATCACTTGGTTCTGATGAACTACGAACTATTTTTAGTAGATCATTTAACCATGAACTTTAGTCACTATTTACTTCTGCAGGAAAATGCTTAAATGTGAACTTTAATTTGGGAGATAAGATTAATAATTCTTTCATTGGGATCCTTTCACTAGTTTCATATTAAATATGAACTTTATTCACTAAAAAAAAAATTCTGCATGAAGCATTTTGCCTACTTTATCGTAAATTGAAAGAATTATAGCCATTATATTAATAATGCTGGCTCTATTGGACGGCCAATTATTTGGAATAATGTTATATTCTTGTTTGTCCCCTTTATTTTATTGTGATTCTCTATTTTTGTTTGGCACTAATATTCTCTTTAGACTTTAAGGCTATAGAAAGGAATGAGATGAGAAAAAAGGTTGGTTGAGAGAAATTCTAGAATGAAAACGACCTTAATACTCATTTTGAGAGAAATGTCAAGTTCTTGTTTTCTTCAGTTTGATTTAATATTAATCATGAATTTGTATTACATATTTTAGACGTTAAATAAATTAAAAACAGAAATACAAAAGTAAGTGACAATTATAGCTTTAAATTTAGACAAAAAAATGAATAACATAATTAGTTAGTTTTGAGTGACTAAAAACCACTGACCATCACTCAAATTAATAGTGATGCAAGCGGTCTTCTTTTAGACCCTCTCATTCTCCCCCACACCCTCTGTACCTGAACTGTCAGACTTAGGATTTGAACTATGAATCTGAAGAGCTCTTTTTTGACAACTGGACCAACCCAAGTGGTTTAATAGTGATGCAAGTATTCATTTGATGATTCCTAAAATTTGTCCCTCCCACTAAAGTATCATTCCTCAAATTTGTATCACTCACTAAAGCTTTCCTTCTTTAATTTTCTCAGTTTTATTTCAAGTCTGTTATCAGCAATGTTTTCAAATTCATTGATAAAAGTATATTGAATTATACCAAACAAGGTTTCTGCTACTTCTACATAAATCATTTTCCCAAACTTATGTGTTTAACAAAGATTAATAGTTTTGATGATTTCTAACAAACAAAATAAGCACTTTGTAATTTTACCTGACCATTATGTGGAGGCCAAATCCCAAAGTCCCAAAAAAATAAGTAAACTCACTAGATTTACTTCGGGCAATATACAATAGGTTTTCAGACAAGGCACCAGAAATGATTCTTTCTGGGGGTCCGGGTACCATTAAAAAGAAGAAGAATGGACTTATTTATGCGGGTAGGAAGGCTTTTACGAGGAGATCATATCCATCTTTTATCTTAATAGTTTCAGTCTATAAATTTATCGTGTTACTGTTCTAATGTCCAATCTTTTACTTTACTGTAGAAATCTCCCAATTGAATTGAAACTAATCATGAAAATATGTTGAACAATTTTAGACTGCGCGACTATCTCAAACATACGGTATCGTGTTCTGAGACTTCTAGTTTTCTATTAATGATTTCTGTTAATGGTGTCGTATAATTCAACATGAATAGCTATCATGTTTTCATCGTTGGCATAAGAATTAATCAATGTTTGAAGTGGATAAGATAATGTAAGGCAAAATAATTCTTGCTACAGTTTATGAGATATGAATAAACTATAATTTATAAATAAATCAAATTGTAAAAATATCCCATTATATCAGGAAATTAATTGTACAATCAAAGAGTGGAGTAGGTACTAAAAGGTGTTTAGTTTGCAATTAGCAAGTCTAACATCAATTTACATAAACTCAAACAAAAAGTCTAAAACTCAATTCGATACTTTCCTGCTGTATCTTCTTTAAGAATGGTACGAAAATTACATTTTTTCAATAAATTTTCTTTAACTTTTTCGACAATTTCACTCAAATTGTCTTCTATAAGATCCATGGTCTTGACTTTGCCTCCTTTTTCTCGTACTTTTGCTTCTTTCAAATTGCCGAACAAATTTACAATTGAATCGGCAGGCTTGTTGGTGAATCCCTTCACATACTGTACACGGACTTTAATTCCTCGCCTCTCCAACTCGAATTTCAAAGTTGTAAATTTGCTATTTGCAACCAACAAGAAAAGAAAATGATGAGAGTAAGTCTAACACATTCATTTAAAGATTTTAAAGGCTATACAATAGAGTTAATTAGCAGAAAGAACACTAACATATATTTTAAAATTACTAACATAACCAGTTTAACACGGTGCTCAATAGTAGCAAGTCTAGTTCCATTCACAAAGTGCATTGTCTCATAATTGTCACACTGCACCAACAGTTTCTTGTATTGTTTATAATGCTCTTGTGTAACAAAATACTGTAAACTTTCAATAATAGCTGTGAACTCTACATCAAAAATATTTTTCGCATCATCAACAACATCAGCCCGTCTCTCGCCTTCCATGAAAGAGAGATGATTTTTGTATAATTCTCCACAATACCCTTTACCCATAGGACTACAAAGATTGAATATACCATCTACAGAACATGTCAACTCCCTAAAAAGTAAAAATATTTTCATTTTCATCAGCCCCAAAACACCAAAATAAGTATAAGAAACAGCAATGCACTATATTCTTTACCTACAGGATTTCCAAAATTGAATATACCATCTACAAAACATGTGAACTCCTTAAAAAGTAAAAATATGTTCACTTTATCCCAAAACATCAAGATGATTACAAGAAATATCAAAATAAGAAATTTACTTCTCATCTTGTGATCCTTCCCATTTTGCAATACTTGGGAGTCTCGTCAACTTCTTCACAGGTGCATCTACATCGTGCACCACTTAAATATTGCATTTCTTTATCAAATTACACAAGATTCGTCTTTTTTCACAAGGCATGGAAACGAGCCACCGACACCAACTGTCTAATGAGATGACTATAGGTCGGGAGTTTTCTGTGATATTCATTGTGGGATGCGGCGAAGCAAGTTTCATTGTGTATTTGACCTCCAACTCTAATGTCGTTTACTTATAGGAGTGTGCAAAATCGAAAAATTTCGATTTACCGACCAAATTCGAAATTTTCGAAATTGGTAAATCAAAATCGAAAATCGGAATCGAATTCGAATTTTTTGAATTCATATATTTCGAATTTGGTTCGAATTCGGTAATAGAGTTTTTCAAATCGAAATTTTCAATTTCGAAATCGGAATTCGAATTTCGATTTGGATTTCAAATTCGTTTTTAATATATAAATATATTTTTATACATGTAATATAAAATTTATATTATAAAATATTATATAAAATTTATATAATATAACATTATATATAAATTTATTATATAATGTTATATTATATAATAATATATAAATTTTTCGAATTCGATGAAATCGGAATTTACCGAATTCTGAATTGAATTAGGTACGAATTTGAATTCGGAATTGGTGAATTTGAAATCAAATTCGGTCGAATTATCAAATACGAAAATTTCAAAAAATTTCGAATTTAAATTTCCGAATTATTGATTTCGAATTCGATGCACACCCCTATTTACATAGACTAAAACGACACTTGAGCATATATTAATAATATAGTCATATATTGTTAGTCTTTTTAGCCACAACTCATAAATTATATAAATTACCAATGTCTTAAAATTTTCTAGAACGTTGCCATCTTTCATCTCTTTCTCACCATGTATAGGCTGCGAAGTACTTGAGTTACTTTAAAGATCAGCATACTTTACAAACAAATTCAAGCCTATATCAAGAAAAAATGAATACATAATCAATACCCATCATTTCTTCTCTAACTTTATTCTTTAATTTTGCTCTCACCCTTTCCATCATTTTTGTTTCTTTCTTTGTTAGACCATAACATTATCAACCGTCAAAACGTTTTCTCAAGTTATAAAAGCAATGACTAATCTTGGGTTGGTGTGATGTTGCGCAATAAACGCCGAACGATTGTCAAGGCCATGGACACTATAGGACAAAAACAGCATCAACAAAAACATAAAGAACATTTCAATTGGAACAAAAGTTGAAGATTAGAGTCAAGCACCTAGGGCTTAAAGAAAGGTCTACTTTCCTTAAGTTTAAGCGGTATTGCATTTTAACCATTTTTCTTATCTAAAGCAACAAAGAAAGAAAAGAAGTACTGAACAACAGGAAATAACTAATATTCCAAAGAAAATTAATTAATGAACATGGCCATAGTTCAGACATCATAGGTGCATGAAAAAATCTCATAGACAAATAGGTAGTATAAGATAATTATTAGATCTGTAAATGATTAGCTTTTCATCAATCAAGAGTTCAACATATGATATTCTGAAAAGCTGTAGACTAACTAAAGATATGGAAAATATCGGTTGAAGTGTAAACACTCTAGTTGAAGTGTCGTTTTAGTCTAAGCAAACGACTTTAGAATTGGAGGTCAAATACACAATGGAGCTTGTTTCGCCGCATCCAACAATGAATATCACAGAATGCTCCTGGCCATAGTCATTTCATTAGACAGTTGGTGTCAGTGGCTCGCTTCCGTGCCTTGTAAAAAAAGACGAGTCTTGTGCAATTTGATAAAGAAATGTAACATTCAAGTGGTGCACGATGTAGATGCACCTATGAATAAGTTGACGAGACCCCTAAGCATTGCAAAATAGGAAGGATCACAAAATGAGAAGTAAGTTTCTTATTCTGTTATTTCTTGTAATCGTCTTGATATTTTGGGACTAATAAAAGTGAAAATATATTTACTTTTTAGGATGTTCACATGTTTTGTAGATGGTATATTCAATCTTGGTAATCATGTGGGTAAAGGATATAGTGGATTGCTGTTTTTAAACTTATTTTGATGTTTTGGAGCTGATGAAAGTGAAAATATTTTTATTTTTTAGGGAGTTGACATGTTCTGTAGATGGTATATTCAATCCTAGTGGTCCTGTGGGTAAAGGGTATTATGGAGGATTATACAGAAATCATCTCTCTTTCATGAAAGACGAGAGATGGGCTGATGTTGTTGAGGATGCGAAAAATATTTTTGATGTAGAGTTCACAGCTATTATTGAAACTTTACAGTATTTTGTTGCACAAGACCATTATAAGCAATACAAGAAGTTGTTGGTGCAATGCGACAATTATGAGGCAGTGCACTTTGCGAATGAAATTAGACTTGCTACTACTGAGGACCGTGTTAAACTGATTATGTTAGTAATTTTAAAATATATGTTAGTGTTCTTTTTTCTAGTTAATTCTAT